AAACAATATAGGGTGTGATTGGATATGAATTTGATTGGTTTTTTATTGATTTGTTTGTTAATCATAGTGAGAGTTTACGTTTATATTAAAATAATATTTAAAATAAAATAATTAAAGTTGATTTAATGTAAAAATATGAAAAAGATAATATGAAGTGATTGTAAATTAAAATTATGTAAGTAGATGGATAGTAAAATAAGGTTGAGTGATGTGTAAGGATGATTTGTTAATATTATTTAATTATATAGATAAATTTTAAGGATAATATAATTGAGTTAAATTTGAGCTAAATTTGAGTTTTGACTGATTTTTATTAGATAAATATATTTCCAATCACACTCACACCCATAACATTCAACAGTACAAATATATATCTTACGAATGTTTTTCACAATTCCCTTCAATAGTAAAATATATTGAAATTTCAATCGGGTCACGTGAAAATTTGTGTAATAATAATTGTTAGCGCGATGAAAAAGAGCAGACCATTTTGAAGAAGTAGGCTTTATAGGGTGTGGAGATAGGGTGAGGGCCATGAGCACTAGTGGCGCGTGCTTTTAACTTGTGCCGTTCGCTTGGGGGATGGTCCGTTAGTAAATATATATATTCATTCAGCTACTTAGCTGAGAATGGGTTTTTGTGGTCCTAAAATTTCACACCAAATCTTTTCTCAACTCTCTAATTGAAGTACGTACATCACTCTTTGTGCTCAACTTTCCCATCATCACCTTTCCTTTTTCTAAATTTTGTCATTTCGCACCTACTTGCAACATTGTGCTAGATTTTAGTGCTCAATGAGAAGTTCTCTTCGAGAATGGTGCTTGCTAAGGGAAAATGTCCATGAAGGCAAGGAAGGAATAAATTAATATATATAGAGCACATTTATTTTAAAGGATAACTAAAATTATCTCGGATAGCTTATCTATACGTTTACTTTAAAGAAATGAGATATGATTATCTATCCCAGGATAGCTTACGTTTACTTTAAAAGAATGAGATATGATTATCTTACGTGGCGTATACGTGGCATGCGGGACCCACATGCTTATCAAGTATTGGCCGACCATTCCATCCAAGCCTAGACCCCGGATTTTTTTATCTTGACTTCAAAATGACCATTTTGTCCTCAAAAGTGCTTGTGAAAAGACAAAAATACCCCTCAAATTCCTATTATTTACAATCAAAAACCATATGAATATTGAAAAATGTTTCATTTGCAGAAACGGGCTCTCCCAATTTCATTGAACCAAATATCCAAACTCAAGCTCCCCCGATCTCACCGCACCGGTCGTGAAGCTTGGAGGCGGTGGTGGCGGACGAAATAGAGGAGAGGCGCCGTCAATTTTCATAGCCTTCACCTCCACTTCAGAGCCGTCAATTTTCATAGCCTTCACGCGACCGGTGGGTCGATGCAACTCGACAGATTCCCGGCTCTGATCGTCTTCACCGGAATTATCAAAACCCTTTTGTTTCATTCATCTTTATCTATTCCCAATTCATTTTGTTTCTTAAGTTCGGCTAAATGTTAGGGCTTCAAGATTGGATTTTGTTCCATAAGGAATCTTCCAGGCTTTATTGATTTTTGTTTCACCAATTCTGAAAAATCTTCCCTTGTTGCTCGAAAATTTTTCTGAATATCTCTACTGCTATTTGTCTTTTTTCTCCCTATTTTTCTCTTCTTTAAAAGTTACTAGCTATTTTTTTATATTTTTTTAATTTATTTTGGAGGTAAGTAAAAAAAATAAATCAAATTATTTGTGGATTATTGGCATGTAAAGGCAAAAACCTGAATCACAAAAAATGATAATGAATACTAAATTCAAGCTTACCATATGAACAAAAATTAAGAAAAATGAAACACAAGCAAGCCCATAGATGTGTGAAGGGTAAAGTAGATATTTCCTTTTTTATCATTTCATTTAGTCCGTGATAGTAAACATTGGACTAAATACTGACGTGTAAAGTGAATGGATTATTTTGTCCAATCCCGTCCATTGAAGTAAATGAGGCCATGATAGAAATGTGGAGATTGATTATTAGGGGGGAGAGAAAGTGTTGTGGAAGAATTCAGAAGAATTCAAACGAGATGAGTTGAGACAACCAGTGTCCTTAATCAAGTCGGACTTTATTTTTTTCGCTGCTTGAAAAGCAAAGGGCGTGCTCGACACAAATATATCCGCTCAAAACGAGTTTTTGGTTTAACTGCGGTTAATTTTGAAAAAATGGGTATGATTAGTTGTTAGTGAGATTTTAAATTTATATTAAAATAATATTTAAAAATAAAATAATTAAAGTTGATTTGATGTAAAAGTATGCGAAAAATGGTATGAAGTGATGGTTGAGGAAAAAATTGTCGCCACTTGAGGTGGAGAACCCTTGAAATAAACTGCAATGGATCTTAGCGGATTTTGACTTCCATGACCATCGTCCTGCTGTCTTAATCGACCAACACCCTTTGTGGGATCTAGGTTAGCACGCAGTTGGGCACGTAAACCGGCTTCCCGTTCATCCCGCATCGCCAGTTCTGCTTACCAAAAA